CTTCTAGTTATAAGGTTAGTGGACTTCAAGTTCGTGGACTCAAGAGAGGAAAATGTATTCAAGTGCAGCAAGCCTATACTTGTGACTTTATTCCTGTGGACATGGCTTATATTCCAACTAGAAAGACAACAACACAATGGCCTCATCTTAATAGCTAATGAGTTGCCTCCATTACAGAGCTGTGACATAGGATTATTGATAGGTTATGATTGCCCCACTGCTTTAGCTCCAACAGAAGTAATTATTGGTAAGGATAATGAGCCTTTTGCTCAGAAAACAGAACTGGAATGGAGCATCATAGGCCTTTGTAATCCCCATTTGGATAGACCAGGAAGCCAAAGGTTTGTTCACAGAGTTTCAGTGAAGGAGATGTTAGTTCCATCGGTAAACGAGATCTTAAGGGGATTGGAGTCTGATTTCAACGAGAGATGTTCGGATGAAAAACATGTATCCCAAGAAGATGTCCAATTCATACAAATTCTTAGTGAAATGTCAAGCAGAATGATGATGGACATTATCAGCTGCCTCTTCCCTTCAAGAGTAGTGACCCTTCTATACTACCTAACAACAAGAAACTTGCCCTTGCACGATTGCAACATCTGAAAAGGAAACTGAAAAATAATCCACAGTATTATGCAAGTTACAAAGGTTTCATGAAAGAAATGTTTAAGGTAAAGCATGCAGAACCAGCCTCTACAATACCTGATGGAGAAACAGTGTGGTACATAACCCCCCATAGCATTTATCATGCCCAAAAACCAGGCAAATTGAGAGTGGTGTTCGACTGCTCTGCAAAATTCCATCGTGTCTCTCTTAATGATATGCTTCTCACTGGCCCAGACTTAATTAATTCCCTGGTGGGAGTTTTGTGTAGATTCAGGAAGGAGACGGTCGCAGTAACATGCGATATAGAAAAAAATGTTCCATCAGTTTGTTGTTGCTCCTGAAGAAAGAGACTTCTTAATATTCCTTTGGTGGGATAATGAAGACATGGAGGAAGAGCCCCAAGAGTACAGGATGGCTGTACATCTATTTGGCGCAGCTTCATCTCCTGGTTGCGCTAATTTTGGTCTTAAGTTTTTGGCAGAGCAATACAAGTCTGAATATCCGTCTGCCTCTTCATTCATCAATAAAAACTTCTCCGTTGATGACAGGCTGATTCCTGTTCCATCAATTTACAAAGCTAAAGAGTTAATAATTAAAGCCCAAGCCCTTTGCAAGCGTGGGGGTCTAAACTTTCACAAATTCAATTCAAATAAAAGGGAAGTCCTAAACTGTGTGAATCCTTCAGAATGGGCACATACCAACAAAGCATTAAATCTGAATCCCTACACAACAGGACACGTTCTGGGCATCCAGTGGTCTATGGATACTGATACGTTTGGCTTTGATGTCAAATTGAAGGAGCAGCCATCAACACACAGGGGGATTCTTTCAGTTGTCGCCTCTATGTACGATCCTCTTGGGTTTGTCTCACCCTTTCTCCTGAAAGGAAAACTCATCCTACAAGAATTATGTCGTAGAAACATCAAATGGGATGACATTCTTCCCAGGGACTTACTCCCACAGTGGGAGGAATGGAAAAATAGTTTTATAGATTTGAAGTATTTCAGCATTCCAAGATGTTATCATCCACCATCCTTTGGCACTATTGTTCGGACAGAACTGCATAATTTTTCAGATGCAAGCAATCTAGGATACGGTGCATGTTCCTACCTTAGGCTCAAAAATAATTGAAATGAAGTCCACTGCAGTCTTGTAATGTCCAAAGCTAAAGTAGCACCAACAAAAATCAAAAGCATCTCGAGACTGGAACTGTCTGCAGCTGTAGTCTCTGCTAAGATGAGTGCCCTGCTAACTAATGAATTGGAGATGGAAATCAATCAGCAGTTCTTTTGGACCGCTTTTCAAGTTGTGTTGGAATATGTCAATAATGAATCAAGGCGATTTCATGTGTTTGTTGCGAATCATGTTCAGGCAATCAGAGACATCACAGATGTAAGTCAATGGCATTATATTAAAACATCTGAAAATCCAGCTGATCACTGCTCGAGAGGCCTTGACATAACGGATACATGCATGTCATCTTGGAACTCAGGACCTAAATTTCTTTGAGAACAAGAAGTGTGTCCACCACCTAACCCTTCCAATACTTTGCTGGTAGGTGATCCTGAGGTCAGAGCTGTTCATACCCTTGCAACTAACTGCTGTGATAGTTCAGACTTTCTCAACCAATTCAATCGATTTTCTTCATGGAGAACTCTTATTAAGGTGATTGCTAGAATTAGACATCTAGCCACAAGTCAGAAATTACCCAATGACATTGTCACTGTGGAAGAACAGGTAAAAGCTTCTGAGGTCCTGATCAAGCTTGTCCAAGAAAAGGCATTCTCTCATGAGATGAAGATGATTCAGGGAGACAAAATTCTTCAAAACTCTAGCATGCTTTTTCAACTTAATCCAATATTAAGAAGAGGCCTTCTTTGTGTTGGAGGAAGGTTGAAAGAGGCATCCTTGAGTGAAGAGCTAAAGCATCCAGTTATCCTGCCAAAGGATTGTCACATCACAGAACTTATTGTGACACACTATCACAAAAAGGTTTGTCATCAAGGGAGGTATCAAACTCTCATGGAACTTCGAGCAAATGGATTTTGGATAATCTGTGGCAGTAAATTGGTGACTAAGTTAATTCACAAATGTGTTCAGTGCAGAAAGCTCCGGCGACCAATAGAAGAACAACAGATGGCTGAGCTTCCTAGAGAGCATATTGAAGTCTCTGCCCCCTTTTCTTACTCTGGCATGGACTGCTTTGGCCCGTTCATTATAAAAAAGGGTCGAAAAGAATACAAGAGGTATGGAATTATCTTTACTTGTCTCTGCTCTCGAGCAGTTCATATTGAAATGCTGGAGGATCTGTCTACAGACACTTTTATCAATGCCCTGAGATACTTCATCAGCCTTCGTGGTGCTGGCGTCAGTTACGTTGTGACCATGGCACTAATTTTGTGGGAGCCAGGAATGAGCTTAGAGAGGCTCTCAATGAATGTGATGTAAAGGCATTGGAACTATTTCTTAATGAGGCCCAATGTGAATTTGTCTTTAATGCCCCCTCAGCAAATCATGCCGATGGAGTCTGTGAGCGGCAAATAAGGACAGTTCGCAATGTGCTAAATGCCACCCTGGCTCAGTGTCCGGGCAGACTTGATGATTCATCCCTGAGAACATTGTTTTATGAAGCAATGGCAATTATGAATAGTCGTCCGTTGACTGTAAACAGTTTGAATGACTCCTCATCTCTAGAACCTCTAACGCCAAATCATTTAATTCTTATGAAATCAAAGATTGCTCTTCCACCTCCTGGGAACTTTCAGAGAGAGGACATGTATGCCACAAAAAGATGGCGTCGAGTTCAGTATTTAATAGGGCAGTTCTGGTGTCGTTGGAAAAACGAGTACCTTCTCAACCTTTCTACACGACAGAAATGGCATGTACCTTGCCGCAATCTCAAAGTCAATGACATAGTCATCATCAAAGAGGAAATGATGCCCAGAAACCAGTGGCAGTTAGGTAGAGTTGTCGAAGTAATTCAGGGAAATGATTGTTTAGTTCGACGAGTTAAAGTTCAAATAGGGGATCGAAGACCATACAAAAAGCAAGAGCGGTGCTCGAACCCTACAATTATTGAAAGACCAGTACAAAAATTAGTGGTCCTGCTTGAGAGCGAGTGAGTGTTATACAAAGTGACCTTCTTGCATCAGACCATTTCTATATATAATCTAAAGTGTAGGTGCAGCGAATTTTATGTTAATAGGTGGTCATTCAAGTTGAAAATCATGTACTGTATGATATGTTTGTGTTAAAGGTTGTTTATGCACAATAACATGATTTGGTGGGAGTGTAATGACCACCACCCTCCCTATCCTTAAGTCACCACTAGAGGGCAACGCCTATAAGTTGCCCAGTAATTTGGGTTTAGCAGCTTCCCATCCAGCACCTCATAATCTGCATTGGCTGGTATAACAGGTGTTTGTTGCCTCACGCTGAAATATAAATATGAGCAGCATACTCCAGCAGCTAAATGAATGAGAACAATTTAGCTCCCCCTTTATGGCAAAGCGGAACGAGGTATGTTTGTTTGTTTAATTGTTTGTCACGTATATTATGCTTTACGCTCTTGTGATGGTTTACACTGTTTTTTTTTTTTATTTGTGTAGATTTACGGTGTTCTTGTCAACACGGTAACAAGTGAAGCATTGCAGTGTTTCATACTGTTCAAATAAATCACCGTGCAAGCATCAGTAAAACTCTCTGCCTCCTTCTTTGATGCCATGGGGCTGCTACAGGTGTACCGCCCACCCCTAATATATATATTTATATATATATATATATATATATATATATATATATATATATATATATATATATATATATATACACACACACACACACACACACACACAAATAAAATCATAGCTAATGAGTAAATGTATATACTTGAAATTCCAATGTTTTAAATATTTGTTTTAACCATTTTCGATATATTTAGAAATTTTAGGGCATCCGCCACATAAACATATACCAAATAATCTGTAGCACTTTATTTTGAGGGCTCATTTGAGTATTAGTAGACTGTCTGCTTAATATCTGCTGATACCGCTCCTTCAATAGATATTTAACTGACTATAAGAAACTTTTTAAGTACAAGTCAACCAACACTAACCCCACCCTGACAAACTACTTATAATCTAATGAGAATTAGTTGACATTGAGATGCAATGTAACTTAATTCAACAAACGCAACATCAAAATATAGTGACTGAATAATTAATACATAATTGTAAATCAGGGTCTAAGTCAAAGGATAATGAGTGAGTGAGTGTTGCACATATGAAATACAGTATAGTCATTACATATATTTATAAATGAAATCTGCATCTGCCATATATCAGACATATATGATTGTGTGACCTTGGAAATGTATGAAGACATTAAAGCCGTACCTTCACCACACTCCAGTTTATTACAGACTCCATTGTTGACATAGAAAGAGTCCTCACACTTGATGCAGTGTGTGGCTGATGAGCAAAGTTTGCAGTATGAAGGACACGGCTCACATGCCTTCAGCACTGTGTGGAAATGAGCTTTAGGACATGCATCCACACATTCGCCATGGTACAGATACCGGTCCACTCCAAACTTATCTAAAAAACACAGGACACAAACACACACACACATGATATTATAGACATGGCCATATATCAGATATCTGTATAGGACTAATTTACAGGTGTAGTCTGCCGATTATCCTCATAAATTTATCTTCTTACAATGTTTGTAAATTTTATTGATTACTCCAGAGGAGTTTACGACAGATTTCAAATGCTATGCAATTTACAATGCTTTTGGGAAACAATCTGTTACATTAAAATTAGTGGCACAATAATTTTTATGATCTACTTGGGCTTCCGATGTCTTTGGGAAAAGGAGACCTATCTGTACCTATCTGTTGTCTATCTGTACAAAAAACACTATTTATGTGTTTGGTGGCGCGATCTGTTTCATTTCTTGTCATTGCGCAATTTGAGCATCTTTTTGATGCATTAAAATATTTTTTTTTATTGCATGCCTGTGTGCTGCAGTGCATGGCTTTTAAGGCTATCGTGCATCGTGCGAAGGGTAGTTTATGAAGCTTACTATAGGAAAGACAAAGATGATTTGCAGTCAAATACGATAAGTATTTATTTTAGCAAAAGAAAAATATATTTTCAGTATATATGTACTGGCCTCACTAAGGCTGGCTGCTTAGTTATCCAGTCAGGTAACATGAAAAGTCATAAAGAATCACTGATGACGTATGCCGATCCATCCTTTTTTATCCTTTATTCCTTTTTACTTGTAAAAACTATGGAAGACAAATAAATGGCTTTTACATTCACATAACTCTTGCAAAGTTTGCTTTATCATTAAGCACCAACGTCAACTCAATGAATTCTGTTGACAATAACAATCAATTATACAAAGAAACAACATTCTTTAACAGAAAACCCCTTGTATTTACTTAATCATTCAACAAAAATAATACTTGCATGGTATTGCCCCTTTTTAAACTACACTGTTAGCACAATTTGCTCATCCGAAGAAGCTGCTGAATAACTGCCATGTCACATGTCACATGTCTTTTAACTAAAATTAAACCGAAACTTAAGCAATAACTTCCGCTACCAACATCAACCACTAGATATCGCCTTAACTCCATAGAAACATATTTATTATGAAAAACATACATTGCCATCCATTCAATACTTACAACTGTGTTTATGGTTTTCTGATACCATAACATATTTAATAAAAAGATTGATTAAATATAAAAAAACTGTATATTTTGGGCAGAATTCCAGAAATCTAAAAATGAAAAAGATGAAAAATAGAATCCAAAAAATAAAAGCAAACGAGTTCGTGATGGGGCGAGAATGCGCTGAAATCCGAAAACACAGTCAAAATCGGACGAGGGCTTTTGCTTTTCTTTTCTGTAGGGCTTTTGTAAAACGTCGCTTGGGTTTACCGAAGGAGGGGGAGGACGAGGAGGAGGGTGGCTGGGTCACCCAGTCGATCGTTCGGTCATTCAGTAAGGCGGACAGTCGGACAGATGGTTGTTCGACAGCGGCCTCCGGCGGCTTTTCACGCGAGAACAGTGTGGGCACAAATGGGACGCGATCCATCCATCAGACGCAAAAAAAATGCGCACAGCGGCCTCTCGCGGATTTGTGAAAACAAAAACTGCACAAATACGTACCTCGCAGGATGTATTTCGCGGTTTCCAGAAACGTCCGCAGGGCTACGTTTCCACAATGAGCCTGGGTTGTTTGACTGTCACCTTCCATTTCAGTGAATCTGAAAGCAGGTATTATCTGACTAAAATGGGCTTATCAAGGAATAATGTAACGGGGCTCTATTACATTTAACATTTTCTTAAAATCCGAAATTTCCACTACCGATTAAGATCTCTCATATCCAAAGCTATACAGTAAATGTATCGATCGCTTCAGTGATATGTTTTGCCCTGTTCAAATCTGTAGGAATTGCCTATCTGAATGCTGTTCCAGCTCTGAAGAGTGGTGGACACAAGTGCATGCGATGTACCTGAGTGGTGGGGGAGAGTTGTGCCCTACGTAGTGAACGTATCTGAAGAGCTGGAAGGGATGCGGTAAAGAGGGGTGTGCAAGGTATTTAAGGACCGGGGGGAGACGCGCGATTTCCGGAAGATTAAGATTCGTTTGCGGGCATCCCGGAGTCTCTATGCATTTGTGGGAGACTCCCGAAATTTGCTCCCCACGGCAACACGGTGTGTTGTGAATTTGAGGGTAGTGAAATACAGGGAGGTATGTATTCGTATTGAGCTTGGGTCTTTGTTTAGTTGCTCAATTTTAATATCAAAATTATTCATCAGAAATTAATTAATGCAAATTTAAAGAACGGTAGCGGTCACACACATTAGGGCTTACTTATTTACTGGGAAAACATGCATACTGACCTGTATCACAGCTGGTACAGTTAGAAGGACCAGCATCAACACACTGGGCACAGGTGTGATCACAAAGGTGACATTGTCCACCTGAAGGGTACTTCCCATTTGAGCAGCTGACGACACACTGACCATAATCCAGCAAACTACAAAAACAGGAAAGGAAATGTACTTATTAGCAACTAACCAAGATAGACATAACAGGAACTCTATTATATTCCAACATAACAGAACATTAAATAACAATTGGTTGTCCTTCATCACAAATCTACATCATCTTTTGCAACAAAAATGAAAGTAAAAATAGTATTTTGTTCAGAATGCATAGCTGTTAAGTACATTGAAATTTAGTAATATTTATGTAAAACATAGTTAATGCTGACGCTTTATTGAAGCTAATATTCATTTGAAATCACAAAGTGATTATAATGTTTAGTTGGATCCTGCTACTGTGCTTTTTGGTTTCATGTAGTTTAACACAGACATCAAAAGACAGGATGACCGCAATGTCAATGGTGACAATAAACAATATCAGGAAGCAATGCATTGCATACTGGATAAAATAATAAACTCATTCATGACATACAGTATATTGTTGGTTTTAAATGAAGACTCTGACTCTTTTCTCTAAGAACGCAAAGAAAGGTTTACTTTCACTCCCTCACATCTGCATCATGTCAGGGAAACATAACACACCAGAATATATGTTTAACAACAGCGCCCCGCAGTGATCACATGTTGCTGCAGTATAAATGCATGGATCACCTGTGGTCTGCACGAATCCCATTTTCTTCAGTTGTTTATCTAGAACAATGTTTCAATATCTTGGTGATTGCTTCAGGTCATAAATGCTGCGACTTAGTTTGCAAACTAGGTGCTCCTTTTTTTGACAACAAAACCTTCAGGTTGTTGCATGTGCACTTTTTATTTGCCAGAGCAATTATTGTCCTTACTGACTCAAATCTGACCACTGGACTGAATGTCTCATTATTGTCTGATCCAAACTTTTGTGAAAACTCTTGTGCGACTAGACAGGCTTTGTGCCTTACAAAAGTTTCATCAGCATCAACTTTGACCTTGAACACCAATTTACTGCCTACAGCTTTTCAACCTTTTGGTTCAACCTTTTTCAACCAGATTCCAAACATTGTTTGCATACAGTAATTCCATTTCTGTCTCCATAGCATCCTTCGATTTGGCCTTGTCTGGACTAGACAGGACATCTTTTACAGTTTTTGGTTCAGTTATCCGGTTACTCGTTACTGATACCCATTCTCCATAATAATCTGGTGGTTTTCTCACCTTTCAACTGTTATATAAGGTGAGTTCTCATTTGCAGGTTCTTGACAGTTAAATTAAACATATTGTTTCACAGCACCTTCCTCATTTGCAACAGGCTCCTTCTCAAACACATGATATGATTCGTTAAATATCACATCTTGACTGTAGAACACATTTGCAAGTTTTGAATCATAGAGTCGATATCTATTGTTTCTGTTCCATATCCTAAAAGGATACACTTCTTTGCTTTGGGATCCAGTTTCTTTCGTTTATCCTTGTGAACATGTGCATATACAGAACATTCAAAAATGTGCAGATGATCAACCTTTGGTTTCTCACCTCTCCAGTCTTCGTAGGGAATCATTCCTCTCACAGATTTTGTTGGACTTCTGTTTCTTATATACACAGCTGTAGACAGTGCTTCTGCCCAGAACTTTTGAGGTAACTTTGCATCAGCTAACATTGATCTCACTGTCTTCACCAGTGTTTTATTCATTTGTTCAGCTACTCCATTTTGTTCAGGAGTTTTGGGCAGTGTGAGCTCATGTTGAATTCCTTCTTTCTTCAGAAAATCCTGGAATACAGATGATGTATATTCTCCTCCATTGTCTGTGCGTAAGACTTTCAGCTGTCTCTCTGTAGATTTTTCAGCCCTTGCTTTCCATTCTAGGAACTTCTGAAAAACTTTTCTGCTTTAGTACATACACCCACACATAGTGAGTATTGTCATCAATGAACGTCAGAAAGTATTCAGCCCCACTTAAGGACTTTGCATTTATTTTTCCACAGACATCACTGTGCACTAAGCCAAGTGGTTCAACAGCCTTTTTTCGATCACTGGTTGTGACTTTACTGCGATAGTGTTTTTCTTCAGCACATGACTCATAGAAGACAAAACAATCGACTAAACACTCACTGCGCAGCTTCTTCAGATTATCTATCCCTAGGTGGCCATAACATTGGTGCCAGATCTGTTCCTTAGTCTCCTTACATGTATTCACATTTTCTGTTACATGCACCTGATTACTCTCTCTACAGTTCACATAATAGAGACTGCCTTCTTTTGTTGCAGTAGCAATCAGCTTTTGATTTACATCTGTAATGTAACATCTGTCCTCTGTAAACTTGACCATTTTTACCAACTGTGTTACTTTTGACACTCTCAGTAAGTTGTATGACAGTTGTGTTACATACAGCACATCATTTAGCTTACGCTCCTTTGTCTTATGATTTGTTAGAGTCATTTTGAGCTGTAAAACTCCACATCCAGTTGTTTTATTAGAATAGCCTTCTCCAAATGTAACTTCTTGTGGAGGCTCAAGGCTATTAAACTCAACAAACTGTCTTTTGCCATTCCACATATGACAAGTAGCTCCAGAATCTATAATCCAGCTATCCATTCCTTTGTCTGAAGTTAAGGATAACGCGTAGTTCACAATTAATCCAATGCTTTCACTATCTGAGCAATTTTTTTGTCTTTTCACCCGAGCTTTGTTTGCTTTGTGTTTATAGCCTACCTTTGTGCTTTCTTTGTTGAAGTCTTTATTTTGAGCACATTTGTTGTAATTTCTGCAGTTGTGATTGATGTGTCCAAATCTTCCGCAGTGATGACAGTTTGGTCCTTTTCCTTTTAAGAACTGATTTCCAGTCGGAGCTTTACCATAATTATTAGTGTCTTCAACATCTCGATCTCTCAGTTTTCATTCTTCATACAACAATCGTTCTGTGACAACCACCATTTTAGGTACATCCACACTTGCCTCAAGTGCTGTAACTAACACATTGAACGAATCTGGTAAACTCGCGAGCAGGTGCACTACACGATCTGCCTCTTCAATATGATCACCCACATCTGACAGTGCGTCAAATGTTTCTGTCATAACCTTAATGTGCTCTTGAGTCTCGATCTTTTAATTGTAAGGAATATTATAGTTTTCACCTCAGTGCTAGCTTATTTGCCCATGTTTTCTTTTAAAACTGATCCGATAACTTTTTCCACACGACAGTTGGATCTTCAGGCTCTCCAATTAAATTGAGCATAGACGGTTCAATAGACAATACGATGGTAGCTAGTGCACGATCACCTTCAGTACCATTTACCAAGTCCCATAGTCTGTCTCTCATCAATGCCATCCGACATTGCACTTTCCACGTTGGATAGTTTGATCAATTTAACAGCACAATCGCCACTGTCTTGGATTCTGAGCTAATTTTTTTTTTCTTATAATAGCTCAATATCTTCAATAAGCCTTTCAGCACATTCACTGTAGCGTTCTGGGCCCATAACCTGTTGGTTTTAAATGAAGAATCGGACTTAAAGAAAGGTTTACTTTCACTTCCTCACATCTGCATCATGTCAGGGAAACACAACACAACAGAATATATCTATACTGGATGTATAACAACAGCGGCCCGCAGTGGTCACACCCAAAATTACAAAGCACCACTGCTTCAATAACAGCATTTAACTAGATGGAAAACAATAGATATGCAAAACCAAATAAGAAAACATTCTGATAAGAGTGCTTTTCCATATATCAGAAGAATAAATTATGCAGTTGAATTGTCTAACTATTTTTTTTTTACTTCATTTTATATTTATTTTAGTTTTTTAATAGCATGTACCAATTACCAATTACATGCTCAGAATTTACATGATTAGCATATTGCCTGTTTACAGTATCCATCTAAATCTACTTTAAAACAATCTGCATTGAATTTAGCACTATATATTGCAAATAACGGTGAGTAGTAATGTAAGATATAATGTATTATAATAGGATATAATGTAATAATGTCATGTTACACACTTTTGACTTATATATTTGATATGGGAAGAGCGGGGATGAAAGAAACATGGGACGAAATAAAAAAAAGTATTTTCTTAAAGCCCTGATTTGCTTTCCAGGCACACCTGTACTGCATGATTTTGGACTGTGGGGGAAACCGGAGCACCCGGAGGAAACCCACGCCAACACAGGGAGAACACGCAAACTCCACACAGAAACGTCAACTGACCCAGTCGAGGCTCGAGGCGACAGCACTACTTACTGTGTCACCGCGTCACAGTCTAAAACGTTATCTTTTAAAATAGGTTTTATGAAAAATGGTACTTTCAGCTCCACTGTCTTGTTCTGACCCATCAGGCAATAACTTTGTAGCAGTCATGAGCTTTTCATCCTGAAAGTAATCCTTAAAAAAAGTCTTACTGTGTAATGAAGCAGCTGAGGCAGTCCTCACTCTGTGGACCTTTACATTTCTGACAGGACACATGACATGACTGACACTCTCCACTCTCATCCTGATATTCCCCTGAAACACAAACCAAGTATGTTGTAGTTTTACCTGAAACATCAACTTTATTGTTCTTTGCATCAATAGGTTTCATACAAGAAGAACTAGAACTTACCATCGCCACAGTTGTGGCTGAGAACACAGACACCATCCTGAAGTGAATGTCCGTCTACACACTCACTGCAGTTTGTTTTAGTTGGCCCGACACAAGCCAGACAGCTTGCATCACACCTGCACAAATGGACAATCTTGAAAAAAAAAGTGACAGGATGATGATAAATGCTGGAGGATGTAGCACACATACCTTTTACAGGTGCTCTGATTGTCCGAGTTCTGTTGTTCTGCGTAGAAACCTTGACTGCAAGAGGACACACATCTCCAGTTCTCCATCAGGTAGCCTTCAGCACAACGATTACATGACTCCAGACCTGCAGCTATACAGAGACATGAACCAAAAATATTTCATACAAAAAACAAACTTACATATATGTGTTTAAATGTGTGATCAAGAAAGAAAAAAGTTGTTTTTAATTGTTTTTAATTTTTTATGTTTTAAATGATAATTCTGGGGGACGTGGTGGCGCAGTGGGTAGTGATGTCGCACCACTGCAAGAAAGTCGCTGGTTCAAGCCTCGGCTGTGTCAGTTGCCATTTATGTGTGGAGTTTGCATGTTCTCCCCATGTTCACATGGGTTTCCTTCAGGTGCTCTGGTTTCCCCTACAAGTCCTAAGACATGGGATATAGGTGAATTGGGTAAGCTAAACTGTCCTTAGTGTTTGTGTGTGAATGAGAGTGTATGGGTGTTTCCCAGCTGGAAGGGATTTTGCTGCATAAAACATATGCTGGATAAGTTGGCAGTTCATTCGCTGCTGGCAACCCCTGATTAATAAAGGGACTAAGGCGAAAAGAAAATGAATGAATGAAGGAAATATAATTCTTAACCAATATATCATGATTTCATTAAATAAGCAATAGTTTCAACATATTTGGTTAGCTTTTTTCAGAGTCCCATGTGATAAAGTAACTCACATCGGAGAAATGCAAACATATTCAAAAATTATAACAATATTTTAAAAATAGGCATTAAATCCAATAATTAATGCCTATAGAAATTATGCTACATGTATTAAAATGCTGCAATAATATATGAAAAATGTAAATCTTCTTTATGTATTACATATATGACCCCTAGGGGTCAGTGTACACCTGCTGAAAATTGCTGGTTAGAATCAGAACAATTAATTTATAATTACAACAATAAGCAATTCAATATATAAAATATAATAAGATCACTAGTGATTTAAATGAAGACAAAACTAACAAAAGAATCACACTTATACTGCACTGTAAAATATTTCACCCTAAATTCACAGTAAATTATACTGGCTAATAATTGCATTATTTTCTCAGTATGGTACTTTATGTAAATTACTGTGAGATACTTCATAATAACAACAGTTCTGTAAATATTTCTAAATATTAAAAAAAAACCTATACTAGCATAAAAGCTAATGTATATTAATTTCTACGTTGAATAAACTATTAATAGTGTTTGAATTCTTGTAACTAACATGCAAAAGATATAGACATTTTACAGTAATTTCCTGTCATCATGATGCCTGCCTTAATTATGGTGGTTTGAGAAAACTATTCTGATATTCTACATAAACTTATTATTATTATTATTCCGCCTTCTGAGACTAATTTTAAAGGGTATCCCCTCCTAAGCCTTTCAAGCTACATCAAACTTTCGTCAAACCTTCAAACTGGTCTGACTCGAGTTGCTATATCTTTTCTGACTGATCCAACTTTCGGTTTTCCAAAAAAAAAACAACCCAGAAAATTCCCAAAAGTCCCATTGACTTAACATTAGGTCAAACTTTGTGAGCTCATAACTTTGCATCAGACTTTCCTACAGATTTCTAACTGGGCTCATTTAACTCAGTCTAGCCAGCAGCCAATAACTGATGACTTTTTAAACTTAATAGCCATATCTAGCAACCCCTTACAGCATACTAGCAATTTCCCCATAGACTTCCATTGTAAAAGGCTAACCTTTGTGAGCTCATAACTCTACATCACACTGTCATACAGACTAGAGTCTAGCCTCATTCAACTCAGTCTAGAGAGTAGCCAATCACTGATGACCTCTAGCCACTCCCTAGAAACCACTTACAACACCCTAGCAACTGTCTCATAGACTGGGACTAGCTAACACATACTAATAGTTTTAACATTCTACTGACATGCAAATTTTGCTAGAACGATGTTAGCAACACTCTAGTGACATGCTAGTCATGCTAGCACATGCTAATTCATGCTATAAAAAAGCTGATTCATGCTAGAATCATGCAAGTAACACGTTAAAATAACGCTAACTGCTAATTCATGGTAGTAACATGCTAATTAATGCTAGAAACAGGCTAGTAACATGCTAATTCATGTTAGAAACATGCTAGTAACAAGATAATTCATGCTAGAACCATACTAGTGACATGCTAACTTATGCTAGAATCATGCTAACAACATGCTAATTCATGCTAGAAACATGCTAGTAACATGCTAATCCATGCTAGAATCATGCTAGTAATATGCTAATTCATGGTAAAAACATGCAAGTAACATGCCAATTCATGCTAGAAACATGCTAACAACATGCTAATTCATGGTAGGATCAGGCTAGTGACATGCTAGAATCATGCTAGAATCATGCTAGTAACATGCTAATTCATACTAGAAATAGGGTAGTAACAATTCATGCTAGAAACATGCTAGTAACATGCTAATTCATGCTAGATTCATGCTAGTAACATGCTAATTTATGCTAGAAATAGGCTAGTAACATGTTAATTCATGCTAGAATTGTGCTAATAACATGCTAATTCATGCTAGTAACACACTAATTTATGGTAGAATCATGCTAGTAACATGCTAATTCATGCTAGAATAAAGCTAGTAACATGCTAATTCATGCTTGAAACATGCTAGTAACATGCTAATTCATGCTAAAATTGTGCTAATAACATGTTAATTCATGCTAATAATTTGCTAACTCATGCTAACAACGTGCTAATTCATGGTAGAATAAGCAAGTAACATGCTAATGCATGCTAGAATCAAGGTAGTAACATGCTAATTCATGCTTGAAACATAGTAGTAACATGCTAATTCATGCTAGAATTGTGCTAATAACATGCTAATAACATGCTAATTCATGCTAGTAACATTTTAATTCATGCTAACAACATGCTAATTCATGGTAGAATCCAGCTAGTAACATGCTAATTCATGCTAGAATCATGCTAATGACATGTTAATTCATGCTAGTAACATGCTAATTCAAGCTAGAATTATACTAATAACATGCTATTTACACTTTAAAACCACTTCAAACTTACAGACTTGGCTTTTTCAAGCCACCATAAAGTTTGTCCTCACTTTAATATCTAGTTTCACAATAAAATTCTGAATTCGTAAAATTAAACAGTTAAATCCTATAAAGTGACACTAATGTAATTTACTGTGAAAATTACAGTAACATATTTAGAAATTCTGAAATATCATTACAGTGTGTATAAACAACATTTTCCTTTATATATGAACGTCTAATTTTAAAAGTATAATTTCAATATTGGGAAAAAAATATTTAAAAAATTGTAACCTTCAAATGAGTGAGCCTATGTGTTTTATTAGAAAATATAGATAGTTATTAACTACAAAAACTAAGTAAAAATGTTTTAAATCCCTAATCATTGTTGCCTAAAAAACAATCCCAGAGAATTAATCATAACAGTAATGTTAGGAGTGTTGAGATGTCAGGCAAACTGATCTGAATATGTATATTTGGTGAATGTTTTTATTGATATGTTGTATTTCAGTCGATTGTACCAGCACATGTAGCACAGGCTGGGTGGCAGGCCTCACATGAGTCCTCCGGCTCAGAGTAGTAACTCCCCACCTCACAACTCTTCTGACATCTGTTGCCCACCAGGCTTAAAAAAGAGAGAAAAGAGAGAAGCCATTTCAGTTCCTCTGGGAAGGGTCAAGTATTTTATAAATTAAATAAAGTATTTTTTATAAATAAAATAAAAATGAATTACCTTGTGCCCTCAGAGCACTCAGTGCAAATGGAGGCTGAGGTGCATTTCATACAGTTCTCAATATTACACTTCCTACACAGGTTTTCCTCTGCATAGAAAAAATCATTATTACTACGCCAACAATATACATAGGAGAAGTAAACAATGCAAAAAATTACAACCACATGTCTTAATTAGGACAAGGAGAATTTAGTTTTTGATTTTGAATGCACCAGTAGTGACAAACAATCTGTGACACGAGTTTTACCATGGTAAAGAAAGTAGCCATCCTCACAGCTGGTCACACAGTTGTTTTTTTCCTCATTCAGATGGTATCCAGACTTACAGGCTGTGCACTGATCACTGCGGCTTCCCAAACATGACTTACAGGAGGAGTAACACTTCTTACATCTTTTCTTATCCCCCCAGTATCCACTTGGACACTCAGACACACAGGTCCTGAAAGAAATTAACATTCTTTAGTAACCTTTTTAAAGCAGAAAAGGATAGAGGAGAATATAGTAAAATTGTCTGACCGTGTGTTATTTTTGAACTTTAGGAAAAGGTTCAAGCAGGAAACACACTGGTGAGGTCCAGGTCCTTCACAACCATCCTCACTACATTCTGGGTCACAAGAACCTTATGTTTTGGGGGGGAAAACAAGTTTATATATTTACAGTAACTCTAAACGTGGTCATTTGATGTAATGAATAAATGTCTGTTAAAAAAGCTAATACAAAATATCAAACCAAGTCATTTAAAATGGCATAGAAAAAGTAATTTAGCTCTGATAGGTCTAAAAGTCTTTGCAGACGCCACTAGATTTTAATTAATACAGTTTTACACAAGCCACTTAATTTTTAGTATGCAATGAAATAAAAAAATAGTTAAAAGGCTACTGTATATAGGAATTATTTTATTTAACTCATCCTGTAAAGTAATTTGCTCATCTTGTAAAGAATCAAATAAATCACCATTGTACTCCTCTGTGATTTCATCCTCGGATGGCAGCTGGGCAGAACGGGGCTGTTCATGTCGTATGTATGGATGTGTGGATGTTCCATAAAGCACTAGGGACCATTCTACCAGTTTCCCTAATACAAACAATATAGAAGGGATAAACAATACATTCTATTAGAGGTTTCTTATGGTGCACAGTTTTCTTTTAAGTGTCTTAAGATTATCACTATTATTACATGATTATATTAATATCACAGTTTGATTAATAATAAATAATGAAATAATTGAATTAATGGGATTGATTTATTATACTGATATAACTTTTCTTCTACTTAGTTCATGAATTTATCAAAATCATGTAGTAATCTTGCCTTGTCATAAAAAGATTGAAAGTTTAACATCTGTGTAAAACATTGATTAAATTTGAATTATATTTTAATAACACTCTTAACCTTCTAAATATAAATTCTGCTTCACTGCTTTTTTAAAAAGTAACTTAGAGTAACTTTTAGAGTAGAGTAATTTAAAGGAATTTTTTTTTAAAGTAACCTTTCTTAATAATCAATTAGAGTACCAATAAACTCAAAATTTTAATTTAGATTTAATGTTTATATCAAAAAGACAAAAGCATTTATAAGCATGTATGATACTGTATACACACACACACACACACACACACACACACACACACACACACACACACACACAGACACACACACACACACACACACACACACACACACAGACACACACACACACACACACACACACACACACACACACAGACACACACACACACACACACACACACACACACACACACACACACACACACACACACACACACACACACACACACTCTTGTTTGTGGGGACATTGCATAGGTTTCCATTGATTTTATACGGTACACATGTATCTTCTATCATCCTACCCTAACTAGAACTCTCACAGGGAACATACTGTACGTGTACATTTTAACTTTTTGAAGAAAAAAAAAAATAAATAAATACTATGTATGCTTTAAAAGACTTCAAAAAGGGTGATATGGGAACGTGGGCAATGTCCTCATATGTCAGTCTTGTAATACATATGTCATACCCATCTCATTATACACACACATATGAATGCACAACTGCACAAACACAAACACACACACACACACACACACACACACACACACACACACACACACACACAAACACACACACACACACACACACTATTATTAATGTTGCTAGACAAACATAAAAAATGTACTTTTAATAAATAACACTATTTTCACATGTTCAAAGTATAAAACCAGATATCACTTCACTATTTTAACTCTTATTAAATTATTTGTATTATTATTTAATGCGATGAGCACCTTGGAGTCGGTTGTTTCTCTGTGGAGATGGGGTGTCTCTAATGTCCAGGATCCAGTCTCCTGCCAGTCTTTCACCCCAGCAGTGAGTCGTCATAAATTCCCACTTAATGAAACCTTCACTGGAGTGATCATTTGGTCTAGCCAGAATTACAAAATCGATCATATAATCCTTCACTTCTAAGCAGCTAACACATTTAATTTTTTTAAAGCAATGTTGGTTAATGTACACATATAAGATGTTAATCAAGTATAACAAAACATTATACAGATTCATACATTTCTGGGCATGCACAAGCATAGCACAACATACTAGTACCTGTTTGCTAGAAGCTGAGATGTAGTTCCAGAAGGTGATGTCAATGTGATTGACAGGTCTCCACGGTGAGGATGTGTGATTGTGACACGTACAATGACATGCTCCAGATAAACCACCCGCTGCAGACGCTGAGCAGAGCAGCCTGAGGATTTCAACACTGACCTTAGCACTCGCTCCGGACTGATGATCCTAACATAAAATTAAAAGAAGTATTGATTTCAGAAATTTCTTGTGGTGTTTCTCGTAGGTTCTTGTGTATTATCAATATACTACTGTTTTATGAGAAATATAAAGTAGTTTAGAATCTTCAGTATGATCAGACAGCTACTGTACCTGGCATTTTGGCCTATGTTTTCCTCGCATATGTGTTGAGAAGGCACTTGTTTCCAGGTCTCTGCATTCTTCACCATGGCCTCAGCATTCAGCAACCCAAACCCATAAAGGTGACTAACTGCAAAACAGCCAATGAAAATACAGTGTAGTGCACACTGTACACTTTATTACACTTACAACTGTATAGTCAATGATTGATTTTCACATCACATGCACTACCTTATGTATACTAAATGTATGATTTTAAGCCTTTATTGGTAGATGCCTTGACTCCATTCAGTACTAATAATAAGTAATGTTATTTAACTATATAAACATACTGTAGCCTATCATATTTGATCCACAAACTGTTAAAAATCTTGTATGCAAGAGGTTTTTTATAATTTTTAAAATCCTTTCGATTTTACTTTAGATTCTTAAGATTTTTTCCATCAAAACTAAATGATGAACCCTTAAAATGGTTTTAGATATGAGCATTATTTTATTTGACACATCAATGTTTTGCGTAATGTTTATCCATGTTTAGTCTACCATCATATCCAGCTCCATTGCTCTGCCAATCAGAAGCACTGAGGTGACCACGGCTTGAAGTTTTAACTATGATGTGCTGAATGTCCCTCCAGGTCAGAGCTGGACTGAAGACAAAGAACAAACAAATTACTTAATTTCTCATATGTATTCATCAAATAAAGGTGAATAACATTTCATTTTAATACAATTGGCTCAACAATGTGATAAAAAGCAGTTGAGCAAATGACCAAAACTAATGAGCTAAATAAATTACCTCTAAGATGTAATACTAATGTTAAGAGGCGTTAAGAGGTATACTAACGTTAACTACAAGTAATACTAATGAGGTTATAAATTACCTCTAAGTTAACTCTTTCTGAGCCAATGTAAAAAATAGAGCAATCCAAAAGAATTATTAAGCCTATACACTTGCCAATTGGCAGAACCTCAAGAATAAGGAAAGCAAAGAGTGAAAGGACAGGGACATATCGACAAGTATTCGTGTCTAAAACTCAACACTGAAACTATGCTTGGCATTTTGCCCATTCCATTGCACAGTCCATTTCCCTAATCTCAAACTTAAGTCACAACTGCCAAAAAATGAAGCCATAACTGCTGGCTTTAAGAATAGACACACCAAGCCTACTGTTGGCTGTTAGACTTCCTTGGGTTATCGTCAGATCGAGATCAGCATGTATAGTCAGTTATAGGCTGAAGAGAGTGCTTTGATTGGTTATTTAGCAACAAATATTCACAAAACATTCACAAATATTTCCAAATCATATGGATTATTAGATTATCAGACATATTTGCAGGAGTGAATCCCCAAGTGATAAATGACAATTACTGTGATAATGGTACTAAACTCTTTGTTTACTCTGCCTGTGTGAATTTCATCTCCCGGTTTCAGACCTGACATGAACCGACAACACAGTTAGTTTCACTGGCACTAGTTGTTCGGAATCAGCTTGGTGTGTCCCACCCCTTAAACAAAAAGCTTACAGTGCCTGTTATTTGCAGGCCAATCCAAGTACTAATCAGACATGAGCCAGCATAGCTTCTGAGATTGAGGTGAGATCGGATGTGCTCAGAGTGGTGTGGCCTTAAGAATTAGGATTGCTGCACATTTTGATATGTTACAAATACATTGCTAGATTTTATCACAAACTGATTGCCAGATCTAACAAACAAAACAATCTTATTTAACACACAGAGCACAGATTCTGTAGACCGGACATCACATTTACTTTGCTTCCAGTGTGAGTGCAATGATTCCTGCAGCCATAGGAGCTGATGCTGAGGTGCCAGAGTGTTCATCAGTGCAGCGTTGTCTCAAATCTGTCGTCACCTGAAAACAAATTGTTATATAAAAAACTGCTTCCAGCACACCATTAAACAGATATGCAATGACACACTAAGTTACTCACAACACCCGGACTGTGGCTGTCTCCGCTGCTGTAGGTGGTGGCCAGGGTAGAAGAGCACTCTTCCAGGTACCATGGCTTTCTGCCACTCTGAGTTGTGCTGCCTACTGAGATGGTGTAAATGCTGTTGGTGTAACCATCACATGAGCAATGGTCTTGACTCTGACCACCATTTCCTGAAGCCCACACAAAGATAGAGCCACGACCCTTTCTGCCCTTAAAAGAAAATAGGAATGGATGGTTTTAAATACTTTAAAAAAAAATTAAAAAAATATATACATTTTTACGATTATAACAAGCCAATGTTTTTCTAAGGCTATGTCCTGTAAGGATGGCTAAGTCTTTCTATATCAACCCTGAGAACTACTGTGAACATTTTATGAGTTAAGATCACAAGAATTATCTGGCGCTAAAACAAACTTTTTGATCTGAAAAAAAAAGATCAGAAAACCAGCTGATCAACTGTTTTTTTTTTTTTTTTTTTCAAATCATCCTAAAACTGTTGACAATACAAGCATGGACGGAAACACAGAACTACACCTCACCTGGTGGGAAGGCCCCCCTTCTTGACCTTTAAGTTACCCTCTCCATCAGAGCAGATCATTCACATTTCACATAAAATGTCCAAGGTTTTAATTTGGTGTATCTTGTAGCCCTTTATTCATGTTTGGCATTATTTTAAACATCTCTGTGTGATTGGTGAAGTAGTCTTAATTTCTTTGTAATATTTCATTTTTATATGTTAATTTGGTCCAGTGGACATAAGGCTGCATTTAAGGCTGCATTTAATTTTTTAAGCAAACGCTACGGGGCGCTGTTCCCTTTCGCTCTTACTGGCTGACCACTTGTGGGTCAATGTGCACATGTAAATGCAAAACACACTATGATGCATCACCAAACCTATAGGTGGTGATATAATCATAAGAATAAAGTTATGTTAGCCAGTCTGCAGAAAGACATAGTTGGCAGAAAAGACTCTGCATTCAACATCATAAGACAAAAAACTCCAGTTTCACCACACACATGACCACACATTAGCAGAGTTTCTGAACATCTTCACCCTGCCAGGAGTCTTCAAAAAGTTTTGGTTTCGGTCACATGATGCTGCATTTGTGGACAAATGGCCACATAGAAAAACTGTGGTTTTGAAAATACCCCTGTTTACGCAAACTGGGCCAACAAATTGTCTTTTTTTTGTCATAACAATACTATAAGTTTTGGGGAAAATGAAAACGATGAAAATGAAAATTTTCTTTTGAATGTCAAGTGACAAGTGTCACTAAAAATACTTTAGATAAACCCAAAAATATACAGTATATCTATATATGCCAATGTTTTATTTTAAACTAAGACTTAAACTAATGTAGATCACTAAAATATACATACAACTTCACATGTAATTTCTCTTAAAGTTGCTGTTAGCAAGTTGACTATTCTTGATAAAAAAATTGTGAATAATACAGATAATACAATCATAAACATTAGCTGAACAGCTTAAAAAGTAAGGCTGTGTTGTCTGGCATGCTCACTTCTGTCTGTGTTGTCAATCTGGTAGCATAGAGTAGTCAGAGGAGGAGCTGAGTTAAAAAAAAATCCTGTACAATATTTTATATTTGAACTCCAATACGTAGTAAAGAATCTCATCCTTACATAGTGTTATTTTTATTCAATATAATTTTTGCTCACTTTAAATAAGTTTTTTTAAAATGTTCAAAACTTTCTGATTATTAAATTTAAATACAGGGTTTGAACTAAACCATAAATATTATATAATAAAAACTTAATACATGTATGTGTCCAAGTTAGTGTATATGATGGTAATATGTATAGGACAAGCATAAGCACACTAACTTTGCGTATGCCATTCTCTAGAGCAAGTCGAGCAAGAGGGCCAGGGCCATCAACTGTTCTGCCATCATCATCCGGACCCCAGCTGGAGCTGTAGATGTCAATATACTGCTGTCTCAAATTTAGAGATTGGGCTTCTACCATATCAGTCATATCACCATCTAGCATACGCACACCTACATGTGCAGGGAGAGATCAATAAGTATTATTATTGCATAATAGTGGAGAGTATATAGTCCACACTGTAATACAGCTATTGAGACAACTCACCACCAATTTTCGCATTGTAAGCAATTCCAACAATGCAAAGGGAATTGTTTGCAGAGGCAGCCACCACACCAGCACATCTTGTTCCATGTCTTTAGACAAATAACAAATAAAATAATTTTTAAATGTAAAATCTAAATATGTGAAGACTGGGAGAAATAAGACTATTAGGTCACAAGTTTGGAAATGGACTGACTTGTTTTCATTGGTGACATCATAACGTGGTGTTGGATCGGGATCATTCCCATTGACGTCGTAGCTGGCACGTGCATCCTTATAAACATAGAATGAATTTTTAAAACAACTGTTGCTGACTTCTGGGGTTAGGGAATAGGAATCTGTAAAAATCTTAGTCACCAGGGTGGACAAAGTATAGAAATCAAGCACTTGATTAAAAGCACAGATACTTCATTGAAATATTAATGCAGTAAAAGTCTTCCTTTTCAAATTTACTTGAAGTACAAAGTACAAACAAAGTACAAAAGGTAATGTGCTTTAATGTGCTTAAAGAATTATTTAAAGAGTTTATTAAGCTACAAAATGTAACATTAAATTGTCTTTAACTTTCTATTGTCATATACAATTATACTACTAAAATTAAGGTATCACTTTATTTTGATGGTCCGTTTAACACATTTTATTTAATTTAAGTTACATTGCATCTACATGCCAGCTAATTCTCAATAAATTATAAGTAGATTACTAGGCTGGGGTTAGGGTTAGTGTTACTTGACATGTACTTGCAAAGTTTCTTTATATATATATATATATATATATATATATATATATATATATATATATATATATATATATATATATATATATATATATATATATATATATATATATATATATATATATATATATATATATATATGACTGTTTATTTAGGTAAACATGAATTTTGAGCTGTAATTCAAATATTACTCATTACTCAAATTATACTCAAATATAACTCATCACTGAACTAATCAGAGATGAAATTAAGTGGACGTGGAGTATGCATATATTAGTGGCATTACTGAAGTAAACACTGCGATCAAGCAATTACCATACATATAGGACTTTTTGCCATATTTTCAGACAAGGTCCACACACGCGGTCAGTAAAGGACCGCGCAAACATGAACACACACACACACACACACACACACACACACACAAACACACACACACACACACACATCGCGAAATAAGCAATTTTATTTCTTTTCATTTGGCGTGCGTTAAAAAATTCCATAGCACTCTCACCAGTCCTTACTCCTTATTTGAGTCTAATACCCCAGCATGAATGAAATGTTAATGAGTTAAAGTGAAACTGCCGAACTGCAGTTAGAGTCAGGAATCCTGCTGAATGTCTGTCATATTAAATGTCTGTTGAAGGAGCAGTATGATATGAGCAGCAGACAGTCTACAGACAGCAGACAGACTACTAATACTCAAGTGACAAGTAATTGGCATGTAGCTGCAATGCAACGTTTAGTCAACAAAATGTGAAAAAGGCACAAATTCACAAATTAAATTAAATTAAATTAAAGTCTTACCAATAAGAAATATATAGTAAAAAGAACAAAATATACCATAAAGTATATAATACAAATAAACAAACAAATAAATAAATAAACAACACAAAAACATTCATGTGCTGACAAATATAAACATTTTCAATAAGATATCACAGCAAAAGGTGTTAACATTTCAAGAATCCTTTGTAAGGTAATGCAGCAGGGAACATTAATTTATGTCTACACCTCATTCAGACAGCATTGCAGATATGGACATCTCCATACATTAAGCATTTAATACATTGGGCTTAAACTACCAACTTTTTTAGGCTAAATATACAATTTTATTTACATTTTTTTAAATTGTTTCCTTAATCTAAGTTGTTAAAGACTTGGCTCGTTTTTTAAGTTTGCCAACAGAATGTGGGTACACACACACACACACGCACGCACGCACGCACACACAGACATGCACACACATGCACAAACAGGACTCGAGTCACCAAAAATGAACAAAAAAAAAAGTCTCATTTTTACTCACCATCAAGTGGTTTAAAACCTTTATCAGTTTCTTTCTTCTGCTAAAGAACATATATTAAATAATATTGGAAATCTGTGTCCATTGACATCCATAGAAGGAAAATCAAATACCATCAACATCAATGGTTTTAGGGTCCAATATTCAAAATATTTTTGTATGTGTTCAATAAAAGAAAGAAACTCATAAAGGTTTGGAAATAGTGGAGGGAGTGTAAATGATGTCAGAATCTTCATTTTTAAGTTAACTAATTATAAATATAACTAAAATATAACTCAAAAACTCTTATTTTTATTTGTACAGTAAAAATAAAATGCAAATCAAATTCAGCACAACACATATATAACATACAGTATGCAGTATGTGCCTGTGCCTATACAACCTATGTCAAATAATCATGTCACTAAAAAGATAAAAAATTGTACTATAACAATACTAACATTTGTCATTTTGTCATTGTAACATTTTTGCTGAATAGAATGTCATTAGACTATAGCAAATGTATTTTAAGAAACTGAGAAAAGTTCAAATGGCAGTCCATGCTTATACTTTTCCAGGGCCACAAATCCTCATCAGAGAACAGAGAGTTCAATCGGGGATAACGAGGTTCAACTCACATTTTTACAAAATGACAAGAAAATAAAGACACTTACATAGTTCTGTTTTAGGTCTGGATGTTGTCTCTCTATCCCATCATCCAGAATGGAGACCACAACTCCTTTCCCAGTGTAGCCCCTGCGCCAGGCGGCCTGAATGTTCATGTCGGTTAAGCAGTTGTGATCACAGTGCTATAGAGCAGTAGACAAATGTAACAAATTTTAGTATGTTTCAATACATGTAGATTATCACAAGACTCTCAATAAAGATGTGCACTTAATTGCATTGAATGTATCTTTCTAGTGAACTGAAATCTTAAATCTTATCTCATTCATTCATTCATTCATTCTTTCATTCATTCATTCATTCATTTTCTTTTTGGTTTAGTCCCTTTATTAATCAGGGGTCACCACAGCGGAGAGAACCGCCAACTTGTCCAGCACATGTTTTAAGCAGCGAATGCCCTTCCAGCCACAACCCAACTGGGAACAAAACAAACAAACACAAACACTGGGAAACACCTAGCCAATTTAGCTTATTCAATTCACCTACAGAGCATGTCTTTGGACTGTGGGGGAAGCTGGAGCATCTGGAAGAAAACCACGCGAACATGGGGAGAACATGCAAATCCACACAGAAATGCTGATCGGGGCTCGAACCAGTGACCTTTTTGCTGTAAGGTGATCGTGCTATGCTACCCACTGCGCCACTGTGATGCCAAAACCTCAATTTTTTTTTTTACTTTATTATTTATACTTTATAATATAGTATACATTTTTTTATATTGATTTCATTTAATATTGTAGTATCAATAAAATAAATGACCATCTGGATGTGATTAAAAGGACTTACGTTACTTAAGTTTACTTAAGTTTAATCATAGAAGTAGCTTCTCTTTAAATTATATTTACATTAATATGTTTAAAAATTTTCCCAGAGATGGGTTGCGGCTGGAAGGGCATCCACTGCATAAAAACTTGCTGGATAAGTTGGTGGTTTATTCCGCTGTGGCGACCCTGAATTAATAAAGGGACTAAGCCGACAAGAAAATGAATGAATGAATGAATGTTTCAAAATCAAATTAAAAACAATAAGTAAAAATAATAAGTCATAATTTACAGAAATACATTACTAATTTGATGTGCTGACTAACATCAGAGCTAGTGTAATTAATGCAGTATTTAAAAAAAAGATTACACATTTATGTAAACTCATGACATGCAAGTTACAACAGAAATCAAATTTCTGCAAAGTATAAATGCTTGTAAGTACATTTGGCAGCACATTTTAACCACATGCCACAAACAACAAAGACCTCACATTATATTGAATGTGCCATAGAATACATTGATTCAACATGTTCAATTGTTTTCTGATAACTACACAGCATGGTATGTGGCCCTGATTACATTTATAACCTGTATTTTTATGCATATTGCTTTCTGATGAACTGTAAACAGATGGCTGGTGGAGCACCGCTTGAAGCCCATTGCACTGTCCATGTGGCTTAGAAATATAAAAAAATTCACTTAATGTAAACATTGCAGTGTACATACACTACCAGTCAAAAGTTAGGGGTCATTTTAATTTTAAATTTTTTATTAAATGTAAAAAAAAAGTTAAATACTTATTTATTAAATATTTATTTATTACTTATTGTATGTATTTTCAAATGTAATTATTAGTCCATTCATTTTTGCTTTTTATTACTATTAACATGATTAATAATAATATTAATAATAAGGTAACATTTACAATAAGGTTCATTAGTTAATGCATTTACTAACATGAACTAATCATGAACAACACATGTACAGAATTTATTAATCATAATTGAACATTTACTAATGCATTATTAACATTCAAGTTTATGCTTGTTAACATTAGTTAATGCACCATGAGTTAACATGAACTAATGATGAACTATTGTATTTTCATTAACTAACGTTAACTAACATAAACAAATACAGAAGTAAATGTATCGTTCATTGTTTGTTCATCCTTTTAAATGCATTAATTAACATAAACTAATGAACCTTATTGTAAAGTGTGACCAATAATAATAACAACTATACTCATTAATATTAGAGTGATTTCTGAAGAATCATCTAACTCTAGAAGACTGGAATAACGAAGCTGAAAATTCTTCTTTAAAATGACTGGAATAAATGATTAAATTATATTATAAACTACTTTTGAAAAGTTATTTTATAGTGCAATAACATTTCACAATGTTACAATTTGTACTGTACAGTATTTTAATTAAATAAATACAGCCTGGGCAGGATAAGCTTATTTTAAAACATTGAAAATACGTACCAAGTATAGTGGTGCATTTAGAATTTTTTAAATCACCAGCATGCCATTACATCTGTAATTAAGGAATTATATAATTACACTTTTGACCCACTCTTTACATGTTAACCCACCCTTAAATCTAACCACACCACCAAAACAGTAACTAAGCTTATACACCATGTCAGCATAGCACCACAAATGTTGAACAAATCAGTCTGAACATCATTCATACCATACTAATTAACATAATCCTAAACTAACCAAATACCAACAACAAGTGTCTTTAAAACATGAACATAAGCACATTGCACCATAACACCCTGCATAGAATTTAGCACTCAATTTCACGGTTTCATTTACTAAATGTAAAATTGCAGTGTGTTGCATACTAACAATATACCACATGCTGTCCCATTTGGGGTCATTGAAACTCCCATCATGGGTTTGGTCCATTGTTTCAGTTCTTTTGACTCTCTTCTGAACCATCTGCTGCTGGATCCACTCCACCTATAGCATCAGAACATATCGATGATGTGCTTTAGCGTGCATGCTTCACTACATTACATGCTTCACAAACCACAGTCAATTAAATGAAATGAAATATTTATTAAGAATAATTATCGTTTCGTTTTTGGCAAGTTTAAGGATGCATCCATGTTTGGTGCACCACTGTCTTAATCAGTTTTGGTAAGTGTGGGGTGTTTATAGAGTGGTGTAGTCTAACTTATTAACTATTCAGTGGTGTCTCTGTGACTGAAGGTATATGATCCTTTTACCTTGGTCTCCATGGTGATGAGACTGTGATTCCCTTTGCTTTTAATAGTGGATCGTTTGATGATTCCACTGTGCTGGAACTGGTAATGGTCCACTAGCCCACCTATCTGCAGCAGCACAAGAGGAGGAAGATTGTGTTTTGTATACACCACCGCTGCTCAGATGTGACTGACAGAGATATAAATTATGTATCTATGCCTGACGTATGACTTTGAAACAACAAAAGAGTTATTCTACACCGCTGATAGACTTACCATTAGAGGCAACCTGAGCTACCGCTACACAATTCAGCTGAGCTTAAACTTTGGCTGCTGATCACTCTTTGACACCCCGTGCCTTGACATTATGATGTTGGCTGAAACCATACCAGATTTAACCGGAACTAAACAGCCCCATAGTGGGCGGCAGTTACACATGTCATTTGACTGAGGGTAAAGGAACTTATGTTACCAAACACAACGTTTTCAATCAGATCTGACAAAACATTTTCTGTTTACACAGAGAGTAAAACCTAAAAAGAAAATAAAAGTCAAAGAAATTTCATGATTTCCACTATAATTTAAACATGCCCTAAAACGTAAAATTACTCTAAGCAACAAAACCTCAGAGATTACTTGAAAGAAGACTCTTATGCTAATCGAGATTGTGTTTGTTTGATTGGAAAAGCAGTGAAAACAGTATTATGAAATATTATTACAATTTAAATTAACTTTAAAGATTTCTCTCTCTTAAAAAAATCTATCTTGTGATTAAATAGATTTTTGTTAACCAATCTTCGGTGTGATATCTTTCAGAAATCAGTCTATAATGCTAATTTGGTTCACAAGCAAATTATTATTGATTTTTATTATTACTGTTTTGCATAAAGAGATTTACACAATTTTGTCATTAATCACTCATCCTTCACTTGTTTAAGAGATTTACTATCTTCTTTCTTCTGTTGAATACAAAATAAGTTTATTGAAAGAATTTTGGGAAAACAGTAGACTTTGATTACAATAGTTTTTTTTTTTTTTTTTTTTTTAAGACATGGAGTTACCAATGTACTTTAAAATATCTTTCAGGCCCGTAGGCAGCCTATTGAAAGAAGTGGTTATTTTTTTTCTTTCAAAAGGACCTTTTTTGCAGTTGTTCAATTTATCTTCTATTAAATTATGTGGTTTTATGACTGCATTTTAGTGACATTTTAAGCACACACTCTTTTTGCTGGATTAGCTTGTTGGATGGTGATCATAACCACACTTTCTTATGCAACAAAATCATCTTCTACATTTTTGTAAAAGTGCTTACCATACTGTTTTAGCATAAAGTGTTTATTTACAAGTGTGCAATGAAACTACAATTTATTTTATTTAGATTAGAATTTTTAATTATAAATGTTGAACAAAGAAACATAAAAAAAAGCTTTTTTAAAAATATATATCATCCATCATTAAAAAAAAAAAACCCAAAACAATAATAAATCTGTTTAAAACTTGTTTAAATAAAAGACAGTAGCCTATAGCAAAGACTATAGAATACACAAGACATGTCACTTGTACCTCACTCAGGTTTGGACCAGACATGAGTTTTTGCAGATTTTGTGTGATTTAGATGTTAAGAAATGAAACTAAAGACACAGTTGTTGTTTAATTTTATTGGTGATTTCTAATATGAAATTCAATGGTAAGCTTGGCATGCAGTTTTGGAAAATTTGATGTTCCTTCATTCAGACAGAATGCCTGAGCATACTGCCCTAGAGGTGTTTCAAAGATGGCCGCCGAGGCAAATAACAAACTGGCCAGCTTATTTCCTCAGTCAGAATTTGTCCAATTCAATAATTAAACATTAATTTGTCTTAGAGCCTTCTTCTGTTGATTATGTTCTCAATTTCTGATTGTATACTCTCAAAAATAGGACAAAATGAGCTCATATAGCTACTGTCTTTATTTGTGTTTCACGGAGAAAATAATTTCCCTCATTTGAAATACAATAATTTCAAGTTTGGAACAGCTTGGAGAAGCAAATATTGAGTCACATTTAATTTTGGGGTGAAATGCAGAGAGATAATACATTTATCAAAGCAGGAAATTTTGACTTTGAAATAGAAATGCAACATTTTACATTTTATGAAGTTTTCTTGCTGAACATGTATTACTTCTAAGTATAAAAATAATATGTAAATATCATTGTCCTTAAACTTTGACTTTGCACAGTGCCTTTACAATATAATTTACAGCAAGAGTAGAGTTGGCTTATAGTCCTTCATTCAGAATACCATGTAAAAATCCTACGAATTTCCTTTGTCACTGAATTATGTCTTTTATGTTTACAGTAGCTCTATTAATTTGTACAGACAGTTTGCAATTCTCTGTTATATGGAGAATAGAAATGTGTCAGTTGGTTAACTAACTGTAGGAGGGTATAAGATGCCATCAGGGTTAGAAGCCCAGTCTTGCATGGTTAAACACATGTATTATAGAAGAGCCAGTGACCCAGAGACATGGGCTTTGTAAAAATGAAAGACTAATTTGAAGAGAAAACTAAATTTAAAGAAAAAAGTTTGTGTTCACATACCATATGTTCATAGGAATGTGAGTTTGTTTATGGAGTTTTATCTTGGCAGAAATTGAACCCTCTTGAAACCTTGCAATTTCTATGTCAATAAGCCAAACCATGACACCATTACCACAGTATCATCACATATCTCCATATTTGAATGAATAATATATTTTTATAAATCTTTTAGCATCACAATAAGTACTTTGATAAAGGAAACAAGCATTGCGGAAAAACAATGTTGAATACATGTGAAATGATATCCAGCTTATATCGTTAAAGAGTTTAGTTTCAACTAGAGAGTAAAACATGAAGTGTTTTCACTAGAAAACATTTTTGTACACTTACCTGGCCCATATTCACAAATCCATATTTTTCTGCAATAAGGTCAGCAGCTTCAGGGCCTCCAGTTATTTTGACTGCCCACCGGTTTGTGTATAGTCTCATTTGAACACATTGCAGCCCAATCCCAAAAAAGAGTGCATACGGAAAAAATATTGTAGATGTCATCTTCAGGTGGATATGTTCTCCGCTTCATGCAGAAATATTTCTCTGATAACACTCCTTATTGAAAAGTTCTCATCATTTAAATAGGACTTTACATAATCTACAAGACTGAAGTGATAAATGATTGTCAAGTAAAATTTCTAAAGCACCTAGTTTGTCTGTGAGAGGACTACTCAACTGTGTTGGCTTCACTGCATCTGTTGCCTGTGGCAAATCATCTCCAATTACACTCCTATCAATTTCTACAGGTGCACTTTGTGCTCATACAGCAAACAAGAAACACTGGGAATATTTGCTAACAAGCTAAAAGCACTCCCATTCATAACATTACTAAAGTAAAATACAATGTTGAATAGTACTATAGGTAGTTTACAGTAGTATTAGTAGTTTACTTTTACTCGGTTTCACATCAAGTTTACATTCATTTTAATGTTCTTTTTTTTCAAATTCCTGTCTGACTTTTCATTTTATGTTTCCCCCAAAGTTCATCTGTTGGTTTTATATTTTCTGTAGCAAACTGTATTTTCTGGTAGCCTAAAATGTCTTTTTAAATGCATTTGCTTTATCCATGTATATAAATAAGTATCAAAGAATAAAACTTAATTGTGTTACACTAACATCATGTGGTCAGATTGAGAAATTACTCATTATGAAAATAACTGCATTTTTTCACACTATATATTTCACAGTATATATTTAATTGTCACAAGTTGTTAAAACACATACAGTTTGTTTGCATAAGTATATTTTTAATGTAAATTTTCAACTGAATTAAGTCCCGGCTTATGCATTTGCAACATCTTTTTCAAAACATTTCCATTTACTCACTCATATACCTGTTTGCGATCAAGTTTTTGTATGTGTGCATAAAATTCTCATAACATGCAAAGCTGGAAAAACAGGACTGTCTTTATAACATGTTTTAAAGAGCTGCCTTAATATAGACGCTGAAGCATTTGTCTACTTTTAATTTCACATCACATTGACACAGAAAAAAAAAGACTTGTTCAGAATTAAAGGACTGGGATACAGATTTAACATGGCCTTCAGAGTAACTAATTTCAATATTGTTAGAGTGATTATTAATCAAGTTTTTAATCTGTATATCACCTAAATCCTTTTAGATTTTATGATGAATGAAGAAATTTAGTAGTTATTGACAAGTGGTAATGTCATACATTTTTCTGCTTCGGCTTTCACAGCGCAAAAATACAAAAAAATCTGAAGAATACTTACATTAAATGTAGAACTACAAATTGACTTAATAAACAAAAGCTGCCAGCAAATTGTCTTGATGCAAATTGTCTTGATGCGGAATTTATGTGTTCTTCAGATTAAGAAACACCTATAAGAAGGGTAATAAGAAGAAACTCTGCAGGGAATGAGTCCCCCCAGCAGATACAACACATACAATTATATTTATATAATTACTAAACGGCTGGACAGGACCAGGGAACATGGAGACAAGGCACAAGACAAACAAGAGACACAAACACAGACATAGAGGACTATAACCAAAAACAATAAACTTTACAACAAAAAAAAGGGAAATACTCAGTCGAAAATAAATTAAGTAAAGTAAAATAAATTTGTGACCAAAATGATATGGAGTTTAAAATATGCCAAAACAATCTGAATTTGAATTATCTTAATTTGAATTATTAACTGTGCAGAGCTGCGGCCCTCCAGGAATACAGTTTAAGACCTATGATTTACGTACTTGCATATTTACTATTGACAAACAAGATTAAAACAGGGTTTAGGTAATGTACAGTTCAAACAGGTGATGGAGTTTGGTTGTGCTGGAGAGTCCCAGGTCTAGGAGACTGAACAGGGATGAACTGGCCAGGTAGGAAGTGGTAAAGATCTGGAAAGATGATCTGCACAACTGAGAACAATCACTAGAGGGCTGTAGTCTCTCACCAGTAACAGCCTTGCAGAGTATATCAGCAGCCAGGGACTCAATAGAGCAGGACATGAGAACATTAAGACAAGGGACAAGACAAACAAGACACACAAAGACAGAGCTAGAATCAAAACGGTAAACTCTACAACAAAACAAAAAAGGAAAGGCTCAGTTGAAAATAAAAGTAAAGTAAAATTAAGAGTAAAATGATATGGGGCTTAAAATATGCCTAAACAACATGAATTTGAATTGTCTATTTTTTAATTATTATCCATCGTAATTTTTGTAATAAGACAGATTAAAAAAATCGTTGTCTTAAATTTTCAATTTTCAAGTTAAGAAATTCAAATTAAGAAATTCAAATTCAAAACATGTTTTAATGTCATACAATATTCAGCTTTATTGAATAATAAGTGTTAATAGTTCAGATTAACACAATTTTAAATTCAGATTGTTTTGGCATATTTTAAGCTCCATAAAATGACTGAAATGAAGGAGGATGAAATGAACAAATAAAAAAAGAAACCTGGTAACACTTCTTGAAGAAGCAACAGGATAAACAATATAATCACTTAGACAAGGATTCTGATCTTGAAGCTTTAGAGCAGGGGTCATCAATCTCGGGCCTGGAGGCCCAGTGTCCCTGCAGGGATTAGCTCCAACTTTCTTCAACACACCTGCCTGGATGTTTCAAGTATACCTTGTAAGACCTTGATTAGCTTGATTACCTTGATTAGTTTGTGTGTGTTTGATTAGGGTTGGAGCTAAAATCTACAGGACACCGGCCCTCCAGGATAGAGTTTGGTGACCACTGCTTTAGAGCAAAGCACGATCACAAAGCTCACAAAGCATAAACACAGCACAGACTCACAAACAGTGAACTGACAAAGACAGTAAAAAAATATATAGTAAAATTAATAAACATAACTGTTGTGTAATTCACACCTCAAAACTGGGGTTATGTCTTATGATTATGCCTACTAAAGAAAATCCTAAATAAATTAAATAAACTACAAAAATTGTTACACATGACATATAAAAGTGTAAAGCCTGCAGCCCTCAACAAATGTGGAAAGTTATTGCTTATCATATTTAAATAACTGTTTACTACAGATTTAATTTAATTTTGCTATCATGGACAATTTAATATTAACTGGATGATGTCATTATGCTGCTGAGCCAATCGTTGCATTGCTGATTATGATCGCTGATCTTGACTTTGCAACACAAGTAATCTAAGCCAAGTTCATCCAGACATTTTAATCTGATGATTTTAATTCATGAAATTGTTTATAAAACCAAATTAACCAGAAATCTGTTATCAAGGTAAAAAAAATCCAGGATCTGCCAATTTATGTAGATCATTTAAGAGAGGTACTAAGAATGGAACCCTGATGAAGATGTATGAGGCACAATGTATGAGGCATGCCTTTATCCTGAAGTTTAGTCTATTTGCTGTGTGGATCACTTCTCTCTGAGAAGAACCCAGGACATGCCACATCAGTGGTGTGTTATCTTCTATTAGGATAGCTGGAGTATTGGCTGTCACCCTCAAAACTGAAGGTTGACATGCTGCTATCTTTGCTCTCTTTGAAGGGGCGCTGAGAAAGAATCAGGCCCGGCCCTAAGCAATTTGGCACTCTAGGCAAGATTTCAGGTGGCGCCCCGTCACATCACAGTAAATTCCACTGTAGTCATAAGAAACTAAATAGCTTTTGGATTGACATTTACATTTACATTTACATTTAGTCATTTAGCAGACGCTTTTATCTAAAGCAACTTACAAATGAGGACAAGGAAGCAATTTACACAACCAAGAGCAACAATGAATAAGTGCTATAGGCAAGTTTCAGGTCTGTAAAGTCTAAGAAGGGAAGTATTAGTTTTTTTTTTTTTTTTTACAGTTAGTGTGATATTCAGAGAGGCAATTGCAGATTAGGAAGTGTAGTGGAGACTAAATAGTTGGGTTTTTAATCGTTTCTTGAAAGTAGCGAGTGACTCTGCTGTTCTGATGCAGTTAGGGAGTTCATTCCACCAACTGGGCAGATTGAGCGTGAGCGTGAGCGAAAGTGATTTCTTCCCTCTTTGGGATGGAACCACGAGGCGACGTTCATTCACAGAACGCAAGTTTCTGGAGGGCACATAGATCTGCAGAAGTGAAAGCAGATAAGAAGGAGCAAGGCCAGAAGTCACTTTGTAGGCAAACATCAGAGCTTTGAATTTGATGCGAGCAGCAACTGGCAGCCAGTGCAAACGGACTAGCAGCGGAGTGACATGTGCTCGTTTAGGTTCATTGAAGACCACTCGTGCTGCTGCATTCTGGAGCAGTTGAAGAGGCTTGATAGAGCTAGCTGGAAGCCCAGCTAGTAGAGAGTTGCAGTAATCCAGTTTGGAGAGAACAAGAGCTTGAACAAGGAGTTGAGCTGCATGTTCAGATAAGAAGGGTCGGATCTTTCTGATGTTATAGAGTGCGAATCTGTACGATCGAGCAGTTCTAGAAATGTGGTCAGAGAAGTTTAGTTGGTCATCAATCGTTACTCCAAGGCTTTTCACCATTTTGGATGCAGTAATGGTTGCCCCATCCATCTGGATTGAAAAGTTATGGTGTAGGGTCGAGTTGGCAGAAACTACAAGCATTTCCGTTTCCGTGATGTGTAGATGCAGAAGAGAAGTGGCCCAAGAACAGAGCCTTGAGGTACCCCAGTGTTTAGATGCTGTAGGTTGGACACCTCTCCTCTCCAAGACACCCTGAATGACCTGTCAGTGAGGTAAGATCTGAACCATTGTATAACAGTGCCCGCAATACCCAGTGACTCAAGCGTAGATAGCAGGATCTGGTGGTTGACAGTGTCAAAAGCAGCTGACAAGTCCAGCAAAATGAGGACTGATGATTTAGAGTCTGCTTTAGCCAGTCTGAGATCCTCCACGACCGAGAGCAGGGCAGTCTCAGTTGAGTGGCCTTTCTTAAAGCCGGATTGCTTGTTGTCCATGAGATTGTTTTGAGTAAGAAAGTCCAGGACTTGATTGAACACTACTTTCTCCAGAATCTTGGCCATGAATGGAAGCAGGGATACTGGTCTGTAGTTTTCAAGTAGCGTATGGCCCAGGTTGGGTTTCTTTAGCAGTGGGGTTACCCTAGCCTGCTTAAATGAAGTGGGGAATAAACCAGAGTCAAGAGATGTGTTAATTATGTGAGTCAGTGTTGGTATGACTGCAGGAGAGATGGCTTGCAAGAGATGAGAGGGAATGGGATCGAGTGGACAGGTGGTTGCATGGCAAGATAGCATGAGTTTGGACACCTCAGACTCAGAGAGCTGAGAAAAAGAGGTGAGTGTGTGTGGTGTTGGTGGTGTACCTTGTGTGTTTGTTGTAGGTGCAGCA